TAATACTTAGAATAGGCTTTTGGGGCCCATTATACTATAAATATAATAAGGAAACCCCAAAATAATATAGGTAACTATTTAGGCCCGTATATTAGTATAGGGGCTTTGAGCAACAGGTTATTACTTTGAAGGGGCGGGTGGCCTTCTCAATTTTTGCAACCCTGTTGCGAAACCTTTGTAGAACCCTGAGCAAAGAAGTGCACTCCCGCAAACCACTAACCCCTAAAACCCCCAGCAACAACCAAAACTAAACCCTTTTAACTCTCAACCCCTCTTTTGAATCCAAACTCAGAAATCCTAAACTCCTAAACCGAAGTGTTGCCCAAGCCTCTGGGAAGCTAGCATCTCTCCAACTCCCTAGCTCTTCGTCGAGATAGTTTGCAAACTCTGCCGCAGTTGTGAGGTTCTGCTCTCCTTGCTTGGGCTTAGGGTTTAAGGTCTAGGGTTTAGGGTAGCCCTTCTGGGGTTCCGTTTCAACAGTCATGTACAGCTACAACAATAATACAGCCATTCTAAAGCACCCATTATAGGGTCCTTCATGGCAATAGCCCTAATTACTTGTCCAGTATCCGAGGTGACCTGATGGGCTTATAGAGGCATGATAGTACACCCAAGAAGGTGAAATGCCACCTACTTTGCTACCATGCCAAGTATCGGAGCTTGTCGTCTTCCAGCTTTGGCACGACGTTTTTGATCATGTCAACTGCTTCTTCATAGACCAAAGCATGGCAGCTGTCATAGGTTTTAGTTCCGCTGGCATAGTTCACCTTCCAAACCTTCTTGCCAGTTGGGTCGAAACCCACATGGAGCTCTCCTTCCCCCAACGTGGCATAAGTCGGATCTGCGTCATAGACTTTCTTCCCAAGGGACACGCCCTCACACACGGATTTTTTCTGCAAAAAAGAGGGGAACTCGTGCTCTTCTTCGAAGAAGCCGAGCCCCAGCGCCACGGTGCTGATGCGGTTGGTTGTGGAATGTCCTTTGCGGGCCCGTGTCTGAGATTCAAAGCACCCCTAAACCCCATCCCCCGAATCTCGACCGGAAGCATGTTCTGCATCTCTTGCTTTCAATGTTTAAATGAAAGGAAAAAGGACCCTATGTACCCCAAAAAGGATGCTCGTTTGCAAGGGCCCCGCAAACAAAGGTACCTTTATTTAAGGACCCCTTAGAGGAACCTTGCCTATAACACCCAATGCAGCCCTTCTAGAACTTAAAAAAAACACAGGATCCCCTACAACCCGGCCCCTGAAGCCCTAAACGCTCCCTAGACCCTCCATCTACCCTCCATTAGACCCTAAATGCCCATTGCCATTCTTTGGGACCATATACCCCCATTTGACGGTACAGGGAGGAGGGTCCTGGTCTACTAGGCGTCCGAGTCCCAACACCCCTGAAGCCTAAACCCCCTAAACCCTAAACCCCTCTAAACCCCTAAACCCTAAACCCCTAAACCACCCCAAACCCTAAACCCTTAACACCCCCTAACCCCTAAACCCCTAAACCCCTAAACCACCCTAAACCCCTCTACCCGACCCTTTTGCAGCAGGCTTCTCTCGCCCGGAACTGCCGTCGCCGTGAAGCAGTGCAGCACTTATGACTGCACAACCCCGCACAACATACCCGACCCTAAACCCCTATAAACGCCCCCTCTCCAAGGCATTCGAGTCTCCAGGCCGATTCACATCCCTCCTCGCCATAACCCCGTGGGCCAGCCAGGCCATGAAGTAGCTCAGGAGGGACCGGGTCTGGTACCTAGGCAGGGTTTAGGGTTTAGGGTTTAGGGTACTTAGTTTAAGTTACCACATATATAGTAGGGAGAGATAGGGAATCATCGGAAGTTAGCTTAATACTTAAGCCTAAACACTAAACAATCCAGTAGGGCTCCTTTGACGGCTGTATCAGGCTTACTATAAGGGTTTTGGTTGTAGGGCTTTTTATCATAAGAATAAGAACCCCGTTGTTCAATATTCAAGCTTCTTTGCAGAGTTGCTGAGCTCCCTCTCAAGGAGATCAGGGTTAGGAACTTATGGCTTTAGGGTTTAGGGTTTACAGGGTTTAGGGCTGGTAGGATTGACTTGTGCAGAGACCAAAAAATAGGTTAAAGGCTACTGACTCAGCCACTAAAGATACAACACAACCTTGTCTTTGTTGCTCTCCTCCACACGTTCGATCTCTCGTCGAATCTCTTCCGTCCCAGGTATGCGATAAGTCCTTGCTTTCTCTAAACCCTAAACCCTAAACCCTACCCTCAACCCTAAGCCCTTTTGACTAAACTAACCAAAGTACAAAGCACTTGAAACTTCATAGTCTGTCTGCATCAGTCCAAGAGACGTACTCTTGAGTGGGTCCTTCTGGTATTCCATAAAGTCATGCGCGGGAATGCCATCACAGCCGAGAAAGAACAGCAAACTTGGCAGCAGCAGATGGAAAAGCATGCTGCCGCTCTGTGCTGCAGAGAGGTTAAAGAGTTTAAGGGTTACAACTGACAGATCAGCAAGATCTGCTCTGTAATTCGGGTTTGGCTGGGGTTTAATGTTCTTATCAATCGGTGGATCGAGCATGAATCGGGCCGAGTAGGGTCAAGCCTACGGCATTTTAGTTCGGATCTGTGGTGCAGGGTATAGGAGCTCACCCTTCGTAGTGCTGATTTTTTGGATGACGAAAAGCACCCCTATGGTCTGTTGAAGAAATCTTCTGGTTGGCCGTGCGTGTGTCATGAGACTTAAAAGAAGGCTGCTTTTCCGTTTCGAGTGCTGCGACAGATGTCAGGAGGCTAGCCCCTAAACCCTAAACCCTGAACCCTAGCCCTACACCACTTAAGCGATTCAGGGTTCGGGACCTCCGAGCCCTACATGATGCCCTACACACGAAGCCCTGAACCCTAAACACTTTTGTTGAAGCCAGATTTCTAAACCCAAAACCCCTAAACCGTAAGCCTCTAGACCCCAAACCTGGCTAAGGTTAGTGGAAGTTGGCTCGCCAGCTGATGCTTTTGGAAAACTGAAGCAAGCAAACAGCTGCGAGCTTGTGCGCACACATCCGCCAAGTTTGATACGGCTTAGGGGCTTAGGAAGACCAGGCACATGATTAATCTCAGTTTTACCTCGTCCACCTTGATGATTTTTGTGTGACTGTTATAAGTCTTGATCGGGTTTAGTATAGGGTTCTTATGGATTAGAACAGATCTTTCGGGATTCATTCTAATAAACACGTAGGCTTATATCTTATATGGCACTACATGGTCCGTAATTCAGACATGATGGCGATCTATTGCGGCACCATCACCACTGACCAGTCCGTGTAAAGACCCCATTCTGGCCCCCACTCGAAACCCTACACCCTCAGAAGCTATTGAGCTGGGCGACCTCAGCCCTAAACCGAGAGTTGTTCAGTCCAGCGTCCTCCGAAAAGCCGCCTGAGCATCTTGTAAGAACAAAACGAACACATGATCAAAACTACACAAAACGAAACACTCCCCTCACCCTACTAAAAATGAAACTCTACCGTAATATCTTGCACCCTAAGTTGCCTTCAGCCCCAAAGCTTAGACCCCAAAACCTCTACAAACCTCCCTCAGCCCAAACCATGCCAATAATCGTAACCTTGAACCCCCATACGTCAGAAGAGCAAAGAAGCCCAGTTACCTGCATGCCGAGTTTGGCTGTATAACCTACCACATAGGCATAGAAACCTACAAAAGCCTGTCAAACCCCTTAGAGCCCTAGTGCACTGTCTACACATGTAACTCTCTCTATGTGTCTAAATATATACGTATATGACATGCATGTAGACATCCGTATACGGATGTGTGTATATATATATATATATCTATCTACTTATATGAATTCTTGTCTTTGTAGATGTATAACTCTAGTATACCCGTAAACCCGAAACCCTACACCCTAAACCCTAAACCCAAAACACAAAACCCTAATCCCTAAACCCCTACACCCTAAAACTGGGCTCTGAGGGCTAGATGCCCGGTGCAGAGCCGCGCCCGCCAGGGCTGGGCCAGTCCTCTCTCGTAGGGTTTAGGGTTTAGGGTGGGGACTTTCAGTAGGGTTTGGGGACTTTTGGGTTTAGGGATTTGGGGATCTAAGGTTGAGGGTTTGGGAGCGATTTTGGGATGTAAGGTTGCGGGTTTGGGGTTTGGGGACTTTTGGGTTCAGGGATTTGGGGATTTAAGGTTGAGAGTTTGGGGTTTTGGGCTTGGAGTTTCGGGGTTTTGGGTGTCAGGGTTTTAGGGTGTAGGGTTTAGGGTTGACTGTGACGGTTTGGGAGGAAGGCTGGAAGGTTTTAGGAAGAGTGTTTGCAGGGTCCGTTTGATGGTCCTTCGGGAGTTCGTTCCTTCATGGGCACCAGGGTTCAAGGTTTTAGGCTTTAGGGTTCAGGGTTTGGGGCTTTGATGTTCGGGTTTAGGCTTTAGGGTTTGAGGCTATACGGGCTTGAGGGTTCTATGAAGATCTCGAATAGTAAAGCTATCTCTCATGCAAGCACCCTTAATCACTGAAGGGCTCTAGGTCGAAGGTTTTGCAGAAGTTTACCGAGTTTAAGGGAACGGATTGAACATTTCTGACGATTCGGGGGTTCGGGGTCTGAGGTGAAAGGCTTCTACTGACAGTCTATAACGAAAGTTGAAAGCAAGCTGCCCTGTTTATCAGGGTGCCTTATGATCATGTGCAGTCACGGTCCTGCTAAGCAAGGGGCCGCCCTTGGAGGGTCGGGGGACTTAGTAAATGGTTATTTTATAGACTTATAAGTACTATAACCCCAATTAGGGTTCCTTTTAGGGTACTTATAAGTCTATTACCTACTTACTAAGTCTCCCGACACCTTCCGAAAGTCACAAGAAAGCTTGTTCTGGGTGTAGGCCTGAAGTTGGGGGGAGGGAGAGTTCAGAGGTGCAAGGGTGAACCCTAGCCTTTGGCCCGAGTCGATCGGCGCCCTCAGAAAATTCGGACCTAGAGAACCAGTAAGGCCAAAGAAGGGTCGTCTAAGGGATCGCCATTGTCAGGCTATCCTGATGTCCGGACACGGCCCTAAACCCAGAACTTCTGCACCAACCATCCGTACGAAATACTGGAATCATTAACCCTGAATCCCCGAAAGCCCAATACCCCTTAATTAAGGAATGTAGCCTAAATCCTAATGTGAAGCCCCTTATCATTCAAACCATGTTCCTTGATTAAGGGGTATTGGGCTCTCTAGGAACCCCTAAACCCTAAACCCCTAAACCCTAAACCCCTTTGACCCTAAACCCTAAACCCCCTTTGACCCTAAACCCTAAGCCCCTTAGCCCCTTTGACCCCAAACCCTAAACCCTAAGGCCCTAAACCCTGAACCATTAAACCCTAAACCCCTTTGACCCCTTTAGCCCAAAGGCCCTAAGGGCCCCGTACAGCCTGGGCATCCTCCTGCCAGCAGCGGTGGGTTTGGAGTTGGATCTTCCCGGCGTTTACATCCGACTCGGAGTCTGAAAACCTTGGCTTTTTTAAAGGGTTTAGGGTTTAGGGTTTAGGGTCTAGGGATTTAGGGGTTTAGGGTTAAGGGAAATTGTTGGGTTACTACGAAATTATAAGAACCCCAAAAAATTCAAAGATTGGGTATTGGAGAGATAAGAAACTCCGACTCAACTCCAGAACGGTGGAGACGCTTCCTTGAAGACGGTGGGTTTTAGGGTTTAGGTTTTAGGGCTTAGGGCTTATAGGCTTATAGGGATTTAGGGTTTAGGCTTTCAGGGTTTTAGGGTTTAGGGTTTAGGGCTTCAGGGTTTTAGGCTTCAGGGTTTAAAGTTTGAGGGCTTAGGGTTTGAAGGCTTCAAGGTTTAGGGTGTAGGGTTCAGGGCTCCTTAAACACGAACTGAGCTTTGAAAGGGTTTAAAGTTTCAGATGTCATATAGGGATTCATAGTATCAGGGTATAGGGATCCTACTTTTCAGGCTCATTCCCTAAACCCTAGACCCTAAACCCTAAACCCTAGACCCTAAACCCTAAACCCTAAACCCTTTTGGTCCCCAAGGTGCAAGGCATGCAGTAGTTCGTCTGACTTCATCTCTGGCGGGAAATTCGGTGCTCCTGCGGGTGGATCCGGCGTGGAAAAGTCGGCTGGAGGTTTCCTGGGCTTTGAAGTAGCCAGGGAGAAAAAAGTATAGACTTGTATTTCATAACGGTTCCTTTAAGGAACAGGTCCCCCCCAAAAAGTATTAAAGTATGGTACTCCAAAGCCCAGTTTCACATGAAGCCCCGGGACATCAGGCACCTCCTGTTCCATTGCAACGCATATGCTCCGCCTGCTGCTCGCTCGTCTTTCACTCTGGCTCGCGACGGAATGATGGAAGCTTTCCTCTCTTCTTCAACAACCAGGTCCCGAAAAGCTCAACAGTTTTAGGATCGACCAACAATACATAAGGCCAAAAAGCTTAAAGTTCTGCCCTACACCCTAAACCCTATACACCCTAAACCCTAAACTCTAAACCCTACACCCTGCACCCTAAACTCTAAACCCTAAACCCCAAACCCTAAACCCCAAAACCCTAACCCTAAACCCTAAACCCTAAACCCCACACCCTAAACCCTAAGCCCTAAATTGGCTATCTAAGCTTCTTGTTCGCTCTGCCCGAAGAGGCTGCTGTCGCGCCGGGGGCCACAGCGCTGCCCCGCATCTCTCCAGGAACCTTCAGGATGAGATGGTTTAGGGTTTAGGGTTTAGGGTTTAGGGTTTAGGGTTTAGGGTTTAGGGTGATGAGATGACCCTTCCAAAAGCATATAGGTGCCTTCATAATTAGACTAGGGTTCCTTCAAGGGTTCCTTAAAAGGGTTCTATAAGAGTTACCATAAGGGCATAATATAGGGGCCTTCATAATTAGAACAGGGTTTTGGGCGCCCATTATACTGTCATTATAAAGCGGTTTAGGGTTTAACCTTTTAGGGTTTAGGGCTTAAAGGGGGTTTACGGTCCAAGGTTCAGGGCTTAGGGTTTAGGGGTTTAGGGTTTAGGATAGGGTTTAGGGTTTAGGGTTTATAGGGTCCGCCGACCCTGGCGGCGTGCTGGATGGGTTGGCAGGTGTCAACCTCCCTTTTTCCCTCCTCCCACCGCTTTCGAGCGTTTTCAGGGCCTGTTTTGGTGCAAAACTCGGGAACAAGCACTGCATTTAGGGCTGCTTCTTCGTGGCTTCGGTTGGATTTGCTTCGGGCGTCTCTTCTCATTGTCTTTGAAGGTCCATGTATTTCGGCCCTGAGGTCGTTACCTACTATCAAGGAGCCGCTTTAACACATATACTACTGTTGATGGACAAAATTCTGCGTGACCCAAATATAGTATAGTACCATAAATCCCATAGTTTAGGTATAAGGTCATGCAGGATTTTGTCCATCAACCGTATGGAGGTACATGGATCCTTAGGGTGTGGCTCTCCGTAACCTTGCTGCTCCGCGATGTCCGCGATGTAGCAGTCAGCCAGCATCCGGTGCAAGTCCCAAAAAGACACTGCATGCCTCCCGCTGCCTCCGCGGCTGCAGCTGGCATCCATGATAGAGGAGTTCCAGATAGGACGGCACCGGAACAGAGACCCGGAATCAATAGGAAACTCGCGTGGAACCACAACACCCTGAACCCGAGAGAAACCATAGACGCAGACCCTCAACCCAAACCCTAAAGTAAGAGACCCGAGAGAAAACGTTCCCGGGAAATTTCAGCACTGCTCGCCAGATCCCTATTCCGAGAGCCGACGCCGTGGAACGAGCGAGTGTCCAAGCCATAGCTTTAAGTTTCGTTTTTTGGGTTTAGGGGTTCTTATAGTGTATAGGGTTTAAGGCGTATAGGGTTTAGGGTCTTTGTTCAAAGTCGAGGGGTTGAGGTGCGTGGTTTCTTTTCAAGTTTTAGGACTTGGTGGTTGAACAGAGTTAGGAACTTACGGCGTGCGTGTCGGGTGTTGGGCTTATGCACACGACTAAAATTCGGTCACGAATACAGCTAGCGAAGCAATATGAAGCAATGTTATCTGAGCTACAGAACACAGGTGCAGCTTCAGTCAAGACATTTTGCAGAAACCCTACTTTCTACGACACAGCTGCTTAGGACCATTTAGGTAAGGGCGGCAATGTACTATCAAAGAGATCCCTTCCCCACTTCCCTGCTAAGATCCAGGGAGACAATTTGACATCTGTCACAGCATCAGGGTTCACGGTCAGTTCTTGCAGGGGCTCCAAGTGGAAACTGCTTCAAGACAGATTTTCGCTCAAAGCTTCCTTGATTGTTTAGGGTTTAGGGTTGAGGGTTTAGGGTTTTAGGGTTTAGGGTTTAGGGTTTAGGGTTTCACCTAGAAGGTTTAGGGTTTAGGGTAGACTCCCACAAGTCCAAATGCCCGACTGAAGTGGATGGCAAGGTTTTGGGGACCTCGCCGGCCATGGGAGTATCTAGTTAAAGGAAACTACAGGTGGGGAGTTCAGGGTGTATAGGGCTTCTATAAGGCTTCCATAAGGTATATAGACTTTCTATAAGGCTCCTATAACGGTAACTACCCAGAAAATGTCCTAGATCTAGGAAGCTCCGAGCAGAGGGGGCCCGGGCGCTCGTTTTCGTTATGCAAGGCCTGGGCCGTTTGGAATTGACAAAAACGACCCAGTTCGCCTTCCACGCCTCAAGGCGATAACTCGTGCAACGGCGCTGCCCAACCCCGCGAGCTCCAGCTACCTTCCGAAAGGGTCCTCGTAAACTATATGGGTAGTTGTCGAAATTAGGGTCCCTTTTAGGGTACCTAAATTTTAGGTGCCGTATTATGATAAGCACCCAAAGGGACCATAATTTTGACAACCACCCATTTAGTAGACAGTCTTTAAAGGGAGTTACGCTTCTGGCATCCCCGATATAGGTACTTACTTAGGAGTCTTGGCGCCCAGTAAAGCACGCTGCATAACACGGGCTGGGTGTCGGGTCTCAAAAGTCTTGTCGTTTGAGGTTCATGGCCTCAGTAGTACAGAACATGGCATTTCTTATCTGTTGAAGACTACCCTAAGGGTCCAAAGGACCCAATAAAAAGGTATGTACTTTGGTTGCTGGGATAGTAGTTATCTAGAATGATATTTGGGAGAGTATATGATTATTAGGTACTTGGACCCTTAGGGCTATGAATCGAACTGCGAACCTGCGGGATCACGAAGGCTTGGGCTTGGAGGTCTGAACTATGGAGGTTCCTCATCATAGGGGCTGAGTACCCTAGCTCAAAAAAGGTTAACCTTTTCAATTAGAGTAGGATCATACAAGCCCCAAAAGGTTAAACGCTACTTACTCAGCTACTAAGTCGTTCTAAATGTTAAAATCATTGCAAGTAGAAGTTGTGATAAGGGTTCTTCAGGTAGCTGGAGAGCGAGGCAACCCTAGCTTCACATTCCTGTGTGCATTAGGACATTGGGAGGCTCCACTCTAAGACTCTAAGAACACCCAGAACCCGAAATCACCCAACTTGATGCCTAACACGTCAACCTAAATCCCTAACCTAACCCCTGGAACGTTTATGTAAAACCCTGAACACCCACACCCAGCTCACCAACTCTTAACATCCAAAGCGTTTGAGGGTTTAGGGGTGACTATTGAGGGTGTAGATGAAACACGACAAAGCCCTCTATGAAACACTGATAAAGCCCAAACAAACCCAACGCAACACAAGTATGTACACACGCACATGCAAAAAACACCCCTTATCACCACCCTTAAGAACCGTTCGGCAGCCATATACCTTCCCTCCTAATTACTACGAAACAATTTGTCCAGGGGATCATTTAGGGAATGTTACTACTAGGGTAGCTACTGTAGGGGCCTTAATAATTAAAACTGGGTTTGGGGGTATATTGTGCTTTAAGTATAATCAGGAACCCTCCAAAGTAGTATATGTAATTATTCAGGCCCCTCTATTACAGCGCCATGGAGCTTCTTAACCCTAAACCCTGAACCCTAAAACCCTAAACCCTACCACTAGGGTAGCTACAGCACCATGGAGCTTCGT